GGCGGCAATGCAAATCCGTACATCCTAATTTTGCTTCGATACACCCAATAACAGATTTGATTGATTTTACACTATGAACTGCGGTTGGCAGAAAACGTGCGAGGTAAATGTAAGGTCGTTCGCAAACTGGCTCAGTAACTGTTCGCTAACTGGGGCAAGGTGTTCGCTATCTATGAAATTCAAGTATGCAGCGTTTTGAGCTGTCCTGCAGCAAATGCGTGTAGCAGAAGACGATAGGATTTACATGAATATTATCAGATGACACCTGGGAGTGGAAGGAAAGCGGGATCCGCATCAAGAATGCTCTTCAGTGTGATTGCTGACCTAGAGTTCAATTATTTCTCCTTAGGGTGTTCGCTAACTGGGTCCGCTCCCCTAAATATTTACATTCATTTTAGACCGTGAACATTATGAAAATGAAAAGTCTCAAGTCGCGTTGTTATCAGGAATGAGGCTCCTCACCCTTGACAAACTTCCCCCCCTTTTAGCAAGAGCAAGGTTTCTGGAGGTTTCTTTCAAGTTACCCAAGTTTACCTTATTGAGCAAAGAAGATGAAGAGAGCTTTCTAATCCGGTGCTATTTGCGATCTTGGCACCAGGGAGTTCGGAGAGAGGATAAACTAATGGAAAGGAAAGGATCCGGCTTTCGGAAATATGTATTTCAAGAAGCAATGCTCAATGCACCTTCTAGCTCGCATATCGATCCTTATTTCAAGGAAGATGGAAAAATATGAGATATGGAGTTCAAAAATACCTTTTTCTGCTCTGGAAGATATAGGTTATGCTTTCGTGAGGATTATACGTCTAAACGAGGCGTCTTTTTTTCTGAATAGCCTTGTCTCCGAAAACTGGAACTGCTCAAGACAAAGAGGTACAAATAATCTGCAAACTTTCTCTCGTGTTGGCTGTGCCAGGCAAGGACACATCTAGGGGGGTTAAGGGGGTTCGACATCTCCCTCGCCTCGTTGTGACTGTCACCCCTTATCCTATATTGTCGCCATCCGCCCTTCCAGCCCTCCAAATTTCATGTTAACCACCCCCTAGGCATTCACGAGGGGCAGACGCATGGGCCCTGGACTACTCTCAATTCAGAACACACCCTTCGACCAGCAGCCTCGGCCTCCCCCCCCCCCTTCGACCCAACGTCCAGCACCCTCACCCTCGCCGCTTCTGACCCAGATGCATCCCCATTTGAATATGCGTCACTGGTGCCAAGAGAATTCAGAACGGGGCATTCATGGCATGAATAGGAATCCCAATCCAGATTAGGGAAGTTTTTCAGGCTTTGGATTAAGAGAGATTAATAGAAAGGAAGGGTGCCTATAACGGGGGTTTTCGGTCCCCTTTCCATTGTGTGCTATTCTAATTCTAATAATGTACAAAGAACTGCTCTACTACTGTATTTAGCCACGAAAAAGGAGCGCATATGTCAGTTATACAAAAATTGCAAAATACAGGGTGATGCGAATATAGTTTGTCCCTAAGGAGGAAAAAAATATACATTTTCCAAGGAGCCATAAAAAAAATTAGAAGTTATGAAGTAAATTTTCTCAGAACAAAAACATGTATGGGTTGTAGGGCAAATAACTCATCTCCACATAAGAAAGAATAGAGACGGGTTCTACAGGTAGCATTGTGCTTTCTGCAGAAGAGTGGTACGCCTCGTGCCTTTTTTCAAAATAGAATTTGGATAAATACCTCAACAACCTAGACTTGTTTTGACTTTTAAGGAAAGTACTTTCTGCCGGTAATTATTTGTTATAGTTTTTTTCTGAGTCATGTAAAAAAGTTTATTTTTTCAGTAATGGCTAAATAATGACACCGAATTATTTAATTACATGTAATGCTGTGGAGTAGAGCCCCCCCCAGGACTATTCAACCGCGTATAGCTAAGTAAGATTTTGCCCATCCACATGGAGCACGTGAAACTAAGATGGGAGGACCAGAATTTCTCAAGAAATTGGTAATTCGACCAAATAGACGATTATTTGACTACTCACAGCACCTTTGGGGTTGAAAGTCTGTAAACTTGTCATTCAATACATGAAGGCTATGAAGTTGATTACGTCCTGCCGGGAACTATTTATTTTTATTTACAGCGCTTCTAATTTCCTCGATGTTTTGGGGCCGAACTCCCCCTTATGGACACCCATTCCCTCAATTCCTAACCACATTATTATTTCTTATCTTTCTTTGCAGTCCCCCATTCTGTCGAGGGAGCTACTGTCCTCATTCTAAATATCTTCGCATTCGTCATTGTTTCAGAGAAAGAAAGGATGAAAAACACCGTTAAATATGGCTGAGTTATAATACGAGTAATGAGACTTCCTTTTTAATGAGAAATGGCGAACCTACTTGTCAGCATATACGAGGCAGGGTCAAAATCCTCAGGGTGCCATCATCATTGTCGTCATCGTCATCGTCATCGTCATCCTCATCATCAGCACTGCGCAAATCTGAGGGGATATATAGGGAACTAATGTATTTGGTCGCCTATCATCATATATCCCGATTTATTTGTTCTCTCCTCCAACACGAGAGTTCCATTTAGGACAAGCTGTGGACTCCTGATGACGCTGATGAGATCAATTCAGGAAATTATTCTCATAAATATGCAAATGAAAGGGAGGACTGAATGAGACCCGTTGTGAAAGGCAAGACTTAACGTCAACTCCACACCTTTAAACTTGTTTTCCCGTCAGGCTCAGCATACACTACATTGCACATTACGTCAACGTCGGTTGAGTTTGACATCACAAAAACAACAGGAAAGAGGAGACGCTAATCAGGGATTCAATGAGTTTTCTCGTGTGTGATGGAACGGCAGTAATTTTGCGGAGGCTGTTGACATGGACGTGTGATGAGATTCTTCCGTAATTTCTGTATTATTTTTCCTCCTCATAACGTACATAGGCAGACAGCTGCTCGGAGGCGGCAGACGTTGGGGTGAGAATAGGGCGGAGACTGTAGGGATCAATTCCAACATGGATTCTCTTCACGCTCCATCCGCCACGTGGATCAACTCGCATTTTCTCATTCTCTTTCCTACTTCATTTTGCTCGGCAATAACTTCATTCATTCAGTTATCCATTCCAATTCAGAACTCTCGCCGACCACGCGTCTTCTCTTGATTGGAAAGGCAGACGACGCGAGAAAGTGTAGGCCCCAGAGGCCCCAATCTGTCAAAAGTTGGCGACAGGAATGAGGTCGAAGATTGAGACAGAAATGTCAAAAGTCCGCTGCAAACATGCCCTCAATTTCTATCTTTTTCCTCTATCTCTCCCTTCCCTTCTCCTGCATAGGCGAAATTCCCGGAGGAGTGTGTTCCTCGCATTTGGGGCACGAGACCGGAATTCAGATTCACCCTTGACTTCATCATGATTTTCATGGTCGCATCCGGGCATTTCCAGGTCTGACCTCGAAAAAGAGGGCATCTCATTTCAAGAGAAAACTTATCATACATTAACAGCCTGCAGAATTCAAACGAATTTCTGAGAGTGTGCACATTTGCATCAGTCGCACGTAACCATTATCAACCCATGAGGTAAAATTTTTCTCTTTCTAGATGATGTGGGAAAGGGGGAATCAGATTCCTTCATGTAAGTTTGATGTGGGGGCTGCAAAGGAATGGAATTACCCCCGTTTCCCCTCTGTGTATTGAAGAAGAGAGAGACTAGGACAGAAGAAGCAGAAGAGGGATAAAGAAGCTCAAGGATGAGAGTGGGAGGAGAAAAGCAATCGATGGAAAACCCGGTTACCATGACAACGGGAATGGTAGTTGGGGTGAGACCCCGATAGATGTCTCTTGATACACGTACCACCATCTTTCTCTCTCCTGTCGCCTCTCTTTTCTCATCGTCTTCTTCGTCTGGGTGAGTATCTTGACTTTCTTACTTCTAATGATGTTAACAGCAGCCTTCTAGCCAACGAAAATTTATCGTGCGATCAACAAGGATTCATCGAAAGCCCAAATACAATTAGAAAAGCAAGCATGGTCCATCTATATGAAAGAATCGCTGTCAGTTCTGTGTCTGGGTGAGCGCATGGCCAAAATGTGGAATGTTGGAATCCCTTAGTTTGGAACGTGTGAAATCAGAAGGTATCATAGCTTCAACATCGGGTTTCATTAAATAATATCGACATTAAAAAATAAAACTTGAAATGAAATTGAAAGCTCAAGGTCCTTTGAAGGAGTGACGTCCAACATGTGGATATCCTTTCCATTGATCAATATTCAGGGAATCTCATACATTTTCCTGGACAGTTGAAAAACATGGAGAGAGGAATCTTTTGGATGTTCTTCCTCTTCGGCCCCGCCCTCTCTTTCGACTACTTTCCCAAGGACTTTCCCGTGAGTGACAGCCATAACAGCTGTTGGATGCCAGCTGGATGTCGAGTTCTTCAGAGTCTCCTACTCTTCCTTTACCTTTTCCCCCACAGGTTCCGATGAGCTTTCGCGATGAACTTCTGAGAGAAATCCTGCAAAACCGGGCAGATCCAGAGCCTATGAATGGGGACTACTTTGATGAGTCTTCCTCCAGGTTATTTCCCCTTCATCCAGTCTTGCGCGAGGAAACGATTTGCCAATCTAGATCCCTGTCATTGAATATTAATGATGAATGCCTGAAATTCTCTGATTACGATACTGGACACAAGTATATTTTTGTAAACAGTTGGGGAGTCAACATCAACGAAGATCACTAGCTTTCGTATGCTGGCAGCTCCAAATGTCGGCAAATATTGATCTTATACTATAATATATTGCTCAGCACTCTCACAAGGTTAAATGTTGGTAAGGAGATTTAAAAAAATACTTTGACATGACTTACATGCTTTGGAACTGAACTTGAAACCATACTTAAGTGTGTTCTTTTGTCGGTAACCTTAGGATGGAAATGGCTCCACCGTTGGCTGTGGCTCGAGGATTCGGCTCAGTTGCAGGGAATCCGATGACCCGAGATCGAGAATACCTGGAGCATTCTCCTCTCTGGGGACATCAATACATGCAAGGTGAGGCAAGCCGCCTTTTCACGTCCATCCATGGGTTCCTCTTGTCCACGGAGGAAAAATGTATCCTGTAAAAGGAGGCGCCGGTGAGGGGAGGCAGAGGCTGAAACCAGATGGGAGCGAGAGGAATCAACAGGAGGTGAAGACGGATGCCGTTCTACCTGCATATTGCGATCCCCCCAATCCTTGCCCCATCGGATACACTGGCAAGTATTTTTTTTCTCTATTTCTTCTTCGTCAATGGACTAAGATGGGTGATTTCTGGTGATCTCTTGTCATCAGCGGAGGACGGATGTCTGGAAGTGTTCGAGAACACGGCTGGATTTTCCCGGGAATATCAAGCAGCTCAAGAGTGTCTGTGCGATTCCGAACACATGTTCTCTTGCCCGGAATCCTCCAACGGCAACAGCCTTGACGATGAGGAACTCGATCGCCTTCTCCGGGATTATCATGTATGCTTACCTCCCCTCTCCTCCTATGTCCTTATTTATTGTCAGCTGACGTTCTCCCCCTCCAATCCCTATTTTTGCAGATCGAGGGACAGCACAAAAGTCTGGTGGCGAAGAAATTCCACGTCAAAAAAGTAATAATTTCCTCAGTTAGTAATTATACGTGAAAATTTTCCCAGGCCACTTAACGTCATCTCTGCTGATCTTTCAGGATCACAAGGTGAAACGCAGCTACAATGAAATGGAGAACATCGCCAAGGAACTCGGAAAACTCCACAGTTCCTCCATCGTGAGTTTTTTTTTTTTTTTTAAGAGAGAGAGGAGCGGTTCAGTTTTTTTTTCCCTTTTCGTTTTACTCTCCCCCCTCTCTCAGCATGAACCCAAATATTATCAAGAGATTCAGTCTTCATCGATCTTGTTTTTATCTTCCAATCCAGACCCGGAATCCGTTTTTGGAAGGTCCCAAGCTCCCCGTGCTGGCCAAGAAAGGAACGAAACTTCATTAAGAGCCCTCAATGTATTTTTTTCGCCCTCCTTTCACATCCCTTGTCTGCCTCCATGTGCTACGAAAGAAAATCGTGATGTTATCGTGATCTCACAAAATATTCTCTATTGTAGAAATTCTATCCAATGTCGCTATGTTCAAGAAAGTAAAAAGCTGTCGATAGAGTCGCTAAGAAATTCGTTTTCGTTGAAGTCAGAATCACAGACATTAGTTCTTTCTTGATGAAGCAACGCAATGACAAGCTTTCAACGCATGAACGAACGGATATCTATAGCCGTCATATCCCATTTCAATCAAAGCAATTGAGTGAAACTTGAAACTTAAAAGATACACAGATAGCCTCAGTCAAAGAAGTTGCTCATCGCTACACAAACCATGTATGCATTATGTAAACCCACAGGCTGTGTAAACTAAAGGAAACGTGACCCCGAAGTAGGCGGGGAGTCCGGATATCTCCATGAAAATATTCCCCACAGACCCTGTTCGCTACCCCTTATCCCCGTGACTGGAGTGGAGGTACCTAGGCTGATTGGGGTCTTCCGTCCCACTCTAATTTTAGAGTCTGCACACTACTGGGTCGGATGTTTCAAGTGAATCACCGAAGGAAGGCACGGGATCGAATTTGAGAAGCTTCAGATTAAATCTTGGTCAAACCTGCGGTACCATCGATGCAAGTGTCTAGAATCGAGTCTGCAACCTAGATTTCATGATTTCAGTAGGCATGACGTCAACCGTTGTCAGTTCGAAAGAAGAGGTAAATAGTCCTTGAACCCAATGCTGGATGTCATGACGCAAAAATTAAACTTTCATGGCATTTTTCCACCATAAATATTCAGAATTTGTTCCCTGGAAGCGGACTCGTGGTTATCTGACCCAGATTATCAGAATGTTTCATAATTCTTCACTGCGTCTGTTGGGAGAAATCTGAAAGAGAAAGGTCTGTTAAGTTATTAATCCTGCATCAGATACATTCACGTAGTAGTGAATTTTCCTTCATTAACACAACTGCAGCAGTCGTCCCACGAAAATGCGTTTCCCTGCTTAGACTCCCAGTACCGCAGCTTACGAAAACCGGTACAGGAGTGCAAATAGACGACGCTGATTTTTTCGAAGATCAGAAGAGGCTTATGAGGACTTATGGATATCCTGGTATACCTCGCACATTCTGTACCATCAATTATCGTGATGTCTTCAAGGCTCATCTAAGCAAGATACTATGATGACTTTCCGAGCTGATAGAGTCGTCTGGCCTTCCTAGAGTAATGAATCAGAGAGTTCCAGGAGGGTAGAGCAAGCATTTTCCTAGTACTTCGTATAGGAGGGCACACAATATTTAGTCCCCCCCCCCTTCTGTAGTCCATTGGTATAACTAAACAAGGAATGCTCTTTACTTCTGGAAAGAACACTTAATGTGAGCTTGCAGAGATGCATTTGAAATGTTTGTATGCCCACAAACAACATTTATGCACACTTTTAACACATTCACGCCCAGCGACTCCAGAACACTATGGGTTTAAAAACGTAATATTACGGTTCCCGGCGTCAATGGGTTAATCTCTGATCTCCATGCTCCAGGATGATTCAGGAGTATACTGGAGGATTCCCCGGTTAATCACTTCACGGGAGTGCTGGAAGGCTTGAAGGACAACACTTGACTCTTCCAGCAGCTTCTCAAATCTTGTCCCTCCCTCATCAAGCGTGCATGAATGCTGCTGGTGGACATGAAATTGCTGGAGAAGCATGAAAATTTGGATGAAAAATTTTAAGGCATCCCTACAAACTCATAATTAAATGTACCTTCGTAATGTAAAAAAGAAAAGATTTTATTGTCGAAGTTATACCAGTGGGCTCCACAGAGGTGGGGCTAAATATTGTGTGCTATCCTTTGCATGTAAGTTTTGCAACATTTAAAATTATTTCAATTGCGAATATACCCGAACCTCGATCGCTTCAACTTTTCTTCTTTCGATGACACATGCACATTCGTTCTATACTACGTTGATTCTTAATAAAACTCTGCTCGTCGTCCTTTGATGGTCGTTACTTACTCTGTTACTTAATCCTGAGTCCCATTTCTCTCCTTGAGAAAGAAGCTAAACAGAAATCCAAGGGACTGCTGATGTTCTCTCATACCGAGGGAAAAAATCATAAAAAAAAAACGAAAATCGACCATTGGAAAAATTGTGACTCATTTATTCTCTCTGACAACCAGTTCTGAAACCTCTGAAATGCAAGGGGAAAATATTTGACCTGGTAATATTAAGGTGACCAGACGTCCCGATTAAGGCGGGACATTCCACTTATTCCCGTGTACCCCAAAGAACTAAGCAGTTTAATACCAGTTCTAATTCATGTTTTTACAACAATACATATATAATTGCCAGTGCAATAAACACATTCTTATTCTTTTTCATGAGACAAGGGAAGTATTAATCGGGTGTCCCGCTTTCGCGACGCAGAAATCTATTCACTTTGGGTAATATGGATCTTGTGTGTCCTCGATTTCACTCTGCGTCGATCATCTGCAACTTTGATACCTACTGAAGTAAAACAACTTCATAGCAAATGGATTCAAATTACTTCGTACCACCATTAATTAACATTAGATCCATTGATCTGATGGCATTTCTATCATGGGAGATGTACCCACCCTCACCTTGGAGATTGGGCAATATAATTACGAGCTATATTGCCCAGTCTCAAAGGTGGTACCATTACCTTCTTCAAATCAGTTGCCGGCTGGGCTTTTTGTGAATATCATGTCGTTTCCTATTAAAGCCCGTGAAAAACGTCATCGATGGCGGAATATCACCGTTGTATCGACCTGGGACCATTCCTCAGTCGCGAGATCTTGCGGATTATGACATCTGTGAGAGCAGGAAAGAAGCTAATAGTTGATGTTTGGAAACGGCAGAGTGCAATTTCACATTCCAGCCGGTGAATATGGCGTCAAAGGGAAAGACGGATGACCAGGTAGGCCTAGGCTAATATTTCTTGATTTTCGCCTCTACCTTGTCTCAAGTCCAGAACCGGGAAAATCTTTCACGTCAGAGCCAATCCCGCAATTTTTCTGCGAGCGGTTTGCAATTGTTAGCTGTGTATTTTTCATGCGGGAAGCAAGGTGTATACAGGGTGTCCCAGAATTAACTGAACATAATGAGTTTCATATCCGGACCGCCCTGACCTCTGCTACTTCAACCTAACGCGCGAGACCTACTAGACTATGCCTTTCTAGGCTAGGAGGAAGGACTTATGTTCGGTAAATTTTGGGACACCTTGTGTAAGGGACTAGTAGACTCAATGATGAATTGGCCTTCAGACTTGACAGGCGTCAATCACTATATCCTAGACCTAAACATGTGGGTTCAAGGGCATAGTAAAGATGTGTAGGCTAAAATATAGTGGCTGTTTTATAGAGCCTATTGCTCTTTGGGGAAATGAATGAAAATGTTTCACTTATTTCATATAAAATTTTCTGCTTTGTTTGATATTACTTTGAACAGGAAAAGGTCATATATTGAAGCCTGCATATGGAAAAGAGCAGAAAGGTAACAATGCATCAGCCAAAACAGCCCTTCTAGGCCTAACGGCCTCTGGTAATTGTAACCATTACTTCTGCTCTTTTTTTCATGTACAGATTTTATTCAAGCATTTTTTCCTCCATTCATCTCTCTAAGCCCAGCCTTATCCTTTTATACCTTTGAGTGCATAGAATAGACAGCAAAGCCATAAGACAAAGTGAGGAAGCATAAATAAAATTTATATTATTAACTTTCCAACAAAGAAAGGTTTTTATCTTGTACCATGAATTGATTTTGCTAAAAGAATTACAATTGCTTGGCCTATTCATCAGTGCTGAAACATGCCAAATAGGAGAATCAGGTGCATATTTTTTCAGTCTTGTTTTAGTTGCCCTTCTCACAAAGGAAGGTTTGGTACTATGGGGTAGTCTAAAGAGTGATAATAGAGGGCAGATTTATATTCCACAAAATATGTTCCTGTGTCTATAAGACATGACTAAAACATTAATGAATGTGACAAAAACCAAGGTCAAATATTTCAGTGATATGTAGATTGTGAATCAAGAATGCTTCAGTTGACTTTGATATAAGGGTATAATAATACTGGGTGATTGAGAAGTTGCATAACCCTGCCATGCCACACAATCTTGCCATGACCAAAAGAAACAGCACAGAAACTTTTTATTCCACTGGAACCTTGTTCCACTAGTGTAGCATCCATAACTTCTGTTTGAAGACTCAGTGGTAGATGTGCACACACAGTATACAAGTAGTATACAAAAGCCTATTGTAGGTGTTCAATAGTTGACAATACTTATTTTGTGTTGCATGACTTCACAATCACCCTGTAGTTTTGATCATTTATGGTCAGCTAGTATCACTTTTTTGCACTAGACGTTAAGCCCATTTTCACTTTAATTGACCCTTAACACATTTGCCATTGTCTAACAGCAAAAGCTGACTAGGCAGTCACTATATTAAACTGTCATTGCCTGTTTTTGATGATGAACAAGTTTGGTTGCAGATGGATAGAGCTAGAGATCAGAGATGGTGCTTACTAGTGTCTAAAAAGCCTATGTGAATTAGCTCCATTCAACTGTAAATTCATTAAAAGAATTGCCACTGCCATTGAATACTAAAAGATATGGCTTTGAAAATGCTGATATCTTTCCTGCATAATTTTGCCTAGCAAAAAGGGCTTATTCCCCCAGCCAGCATGTTTCCATTAAGTACATGTGAATGTTTGTGATGAAGCTTAACTCTTTATTGCATTGCGTTCCCATTCTGGAACATACCAGTATAATCTTTATACAAAATGTCTAAAGTCTGACTCACCTGGTGCCAAATGGGCAATTTCTGAAGCATCCTTGATGTTCCTGATAGAGAAAAGCATAAATAATTTTTTATTGTGTGCTTGTTACCAACCAACTGGGAGCATATTGTTGATTTTTTATTATTATTATATTTGATTTAAAAAAAAATTTGTCTTGCATATATTGTCTCTTATCTTTATCTCACATCATTGTCTGACCTTTTTGAAATGTTACCTTTTGCAGTTTTCTTCCATTTTTGACCAATACCTAAAATTGCAATAAAATGACAATTTTGGAAGTTTGATGTAAAGTATCTTATATTCGCGCCTCTCAGGAAATGTA